TGCGCTGATTTTGCAGCAAATTCATAGAGCGAAATATGCATGAAAATCGAAAAAAATTATAGATAGCTTGTTCGGTGAAACAACAAATACTATAAGGTAAACTGTACCTCATCAGCACCATCAATACAGACGTCAAGTTCAGGTGTACTATCCAGATCTGTGACCGTTAGACCAGCATCCAACAACCATCGTTTTGTCTGAATTTACACAAGCATCAAAAGCTTCAACAGAACCAGAAATCAAGTGCACTTTCTTCAATGTATAATCGAAAGAGTCAAATAAGAAACCAAAATTCTTGAGAGAAAAAGTAATCTGACTCACCAAAAAGCTGGTCGGTACACAAACAATATTTTGCAATTTTCCCGATTTTACTGCTGATTCGAGATATTCCACGAGATACCTAAACCTCGTTTAAAAGCACAGATTATAAAGGATGTGAAAGCTGATGACTCAAAAGTACCTGATGCATTACAAGATTATTATTGGTGACTCACTTAACAGTGGAACCAGATCCAACACCAAGGCGACAGCCGCTACTGACATTCTTTTCCGCACATGCGTAGGCAGCCTAAACAGAAAATAGTGTCAAGATGTGGAAATAAGTAAGAAAAAAAAGGAAAACAAAAGAAAGGCAAAACATAAAAAAAGGATTGCCATCGGCCGAGAACAATTATATTTTGCTAACCTGCCGCTTAGCTTTCTCTATAGGCGTTAACTCAGTAGAGGACACCATTCTACGAATAGTAGCGGTGAGTAGACGAACTCTCGCCACTTTGATGAATCTAAATCTGAAATCGATGAGAAAAAAGTGTTTGCAAAAGAGATGAAACGTGATTGTTTAACTTTTCGTGGAAAATCGATAGATTAAATCGGCAGTGTTGCAGAGCGATGAAGGCATAGAACAGATAGAAATGCAGGCAGCTGCACTGCATGGACTTGGACTTTGCAGGTATTTTATACCTTAGAAAAAAATACTGCAAAATGACAACAGCTGTATGCGCATGTTCTTCTTTG